CCCCAAAACCCCAAAACCCCAAAACCCCAAATCCTGTTTTATGTAAATTAGTTTAAGAAACAGAATTTATCAGTGATAATCAATTATTAGTTTGCTCACTTAAAATTTATCATTAAAGTATGAATATTGAACTTGCTTGATGTCTGTTTCTTTCAAATTAAGTTCCGATATCTATCGTTTGCTTGAGTATTGATTAGTTTACAAGATGGACAAGCAGGGCCATTAGTTGGCCCGCAATATCCGTCACAAAATGCTACTCCTTTCATGCAAAGTCTTCCACAGTAATAATTGCTGGTTGTTCCTTTTCTGCACATTGCACCCTCTCTGTTTACCAAATAACCTTTAGGAACCATTCTCACTTGCATATCAAGCTTCATACAGTATTAGCAATTGCATCCATTACCTGGACCACAATAACCATTGCAGCACATGCAATCAGTTTCTAATGGACCACCGCAGTAATACTTTCCACTCTCCCCTAATCTAGCCAACTTTCCTTTTTCATTTCTCATACTGCCAACTCTATCAAAATTTAAATTAAATTTCCCACTCATCTCAGTCGATTCAACTTCTTGAGTTTTATTTTCTTCCTCTATAGTTGATTAACTAGTTGCATCATATTATCTTATCAACACTAAATCATGGCTTTCTACAAGATGCTACAAAAACTCATCCTTTTTACCCTCAAATGGGCATTTATCTACTTAGCACACATGTACTCTTAAAGGACACTTTCTTAGGTGCTAATCAATATTACCAATAGTGGACTTTTCTCCGCAGCCATTAGGACAATCAGCAGGGAGTGTTCCGATAAGTCTCCTAGCTAAAATACTTTGCTTGAATACAAACTGTTCCTTTCTACAAGAGGGGCAATCTCTTTTCTTCAATGACTTAATACATTCTTCACACATTATATTATTGCAGCTCTCACATTCCATTGCTTTTCTCGCTATCTCTAAGCAAATGCAGCAAGTCAAATAATCTTTTGCTTATGTTAGATCCATTGTTATTGGTCAGAAAATATATTCCTTAATATATCAAAATTATTAAATTAAGAGATATATGTAATTAAATCACTAATTCATTTTGGAGGCTACTTTTCAAGTTCATTAGTTTTTTCTTCACTCTTGGTCCTCTTTGATCTGGATTCTTCCTCACTGCTATTTCTTGCTTTTTCTTATTCCTCTTGTCCATGCTCTTAGATTTCAGTAGGTCTTAATTAAATAGATGGCTGAGGAAAGTTAGTCTTGCTAAGCTTGTGATACTTTGCTCTTTCTCTTTGATAAAATGGAGATCTTCTTAAAGATATTTTTAGAGAATTATCTATTTGTTCTGGTGGTCTTTGATAGGGCAAAACAGAAGATCCAAATTATCTAGCATTAAAATTCAAAGGTTAGACAAAAAGCGTGTTTTATTGCATACTATCCATAGAGGGCTTTGGATGCAAACCTTAGATATTTTCTCCTTCATTAGGAAAACTTCGAGGAACTGAAAACGCTTAACCTTCTGTCTTATATCTAGATACACCTTCCAAATCCTAGACTTGAATAGTTGGCTTCTATTTTTATTCTTCATTAAGCACTGTTTCCTATTACTCAATAACAAGTGAATCACTTTAGCCTCTCTTTTGAAATTTCTACTTTTACAGGTCTTGTTGTTGCATCTAAGTTTACATGTTTACATTATCGATATTAGTGTACATATAGTCTTAAAACTAATGCTACTAATTATTAAGCTACTACTACCTAATTATTTAGGCTTAATTTTCAAGATGAGTCTACATAAGCATTTCTAACATTTCATTTTGTCTTATCATTATTCGTTGCATGTCATCAAATCTATCAGCTAGATCAATTACCTCATTCTTAATTAAATGAATCATATTTTCCTGCTCTGCCTCTGGCTAAATACTAATGTGCTTAAGTTCATTCCATTCATCCCTAAACTCTTAAAGTCTATTGTACATTATGTTTTTATACTCCTTAAGATCTTATTCCTCAATCCTCTCTGATAGCATTAGTTCCTCCTCCAGATCTTAATTCCAAACCTAGCCTTTTTAATTCATATTTCTCATTAAAGGAGTAAACCCACTCTGATTTCTTCCATTAAAATTCATTGATTTGTTTTCCTCAATTAGTTTTTGTCTCTATTAATAAATTATAATAAATAATCAACTTACTTCTAATGCTTATCTTTATCTACTCTTAGCCAGGAAAAATCTCATGGCTGATGTAATAGAAGTTGCTGCTTTTCTTGTCAAGAATAAGTGATGCATTGCCTTTTTTTAATTTGTAGTAAGTTAGAAAATCTTGCCAACACTTACAATCAATAAAGAAATCAAAAATGCTCCCCAAAAAGCACTAAGCATAATGATAATTCTACCAAAGTAAGAAAAAGCAACTAAATCTCCAAATCCAACAGTGGTTATAGTAATCACAATCACCCAAATTGCTTAAAAATAATCATCGAAATCTATCTATCCAATTGCTCTATAGTACTATATTTCAAATACTCTTAAGATATAAGCTAATATAAAGACAGTAGAGAGTAATGTGCAAATAACAGTAATTCCTGGATTTCTTATAATAAAGCACTTAAATGTAAACCTAATATTTGCAGTGAAACCATATGATTCACTATAAAATTATTATAATCTCTTAAATGAAAATTACCAAAGTCTCTTTGCGTAGAGGTCAGTAAACATCGTATAATTAAATATAGTTCTAATTAAAAGCCCTATTCTGATAAACATGAAGATTAGGAGGAAATCACTAAGTCTATATTGTACTTCTACATAGTGCTATCTGTCATTCATGTTGATACTTTTTACTGAAAAATTCCAATCAACATAAGGCAATGGATGAACAGCGATTAAGAATATTTCTACTAGGAACAATGGCTTTATGAAACTTCTTTTCCTCTCTCGATTTCTATTGTTTTCAAGTACTTTGTAGCTGTATATTTCCTATTAGAGTTCTTTTGGTAAGGGGTAATTTAACCACTAAGTTTTAGAATAATGTCTAAATGTAATAGACAGGACTAGAAGAAAATTAAAAAAAAGTTAATTTACTTGATAAGATTGTTGTGATTGTAATGATAATTCTAACAAAGGAATCATCTACTGATTTATTCCCAGCAGTTTTACTTTTATGCAATGACAGATAGTACTCTTGCTGAAAAATATATATTTAAAACATGTGAATTTACATTTATTATACCAACTATTAGACCAAGTATTGCCAATATACAAGTCAGCAAATCATAGTCCCTCCATTTGTTATAGAAGTTTTCATATCGTTTCTGAATTTTCTCTTTGGTCTACCTTAGTTTTTCTCTCTCTTATATTTTGATTAATATTTTGAGTCTTACTTTCAATATAATTTTGGTTAGTTATCTTGTTTGCTGACAAAGAGCTTCTATTCTGAATGTCGCCAGTGTTCTTGGCTGATTCATGCAAATTTTTGCTGCTATTTTGTCTATTAGATTTCATCCTTTACTCATGTCTCTTAGACCATTTTGCAAACCAAGATCTTCTACCAGCAGGTTAATCAGGATCGTACATTCGAGGGCTAACGTTTTGAGAAGGCTACTGATAGATAAATTATTAATCAGTGACCATTTTAATATAGTCATCTTGAGTTTAAAATGACTACAGCTAAGGCATATTAGTCAGATCATCATCTCCACTTTCATTATCTGTATCTGCCTGATTTTAGTAGTATTACTGCTGACCTTCGGTATATTTTAGTGGTCTTTACTCTTTTTTTAAAAGAGTATATGCCTCTCCCATATTTTTTGGATCCTCTTCCTGTACTTAAGCAAATTATTTTTTCATTCCAAGTTATATTAAATATTTTAGATGATTTCATTATAAATGTCATATTTATAAATTTTCTGTAAATTGCTCTTCCATGGGGTTTTGGGGTTTTGGGGTTTTGGGGTTTTGGGGTTTTGGGGTTTTGG